CTCTCTCTGTCTCTCTCTGGTCAAATTAAAATAAATAAATGAGTAAATAAAGTTAAAATAAACACTTAAAAAATTTAAACCAAGTCAAGTCAGCTCCTAGACTGGTAGTTGGGGGAGTTGGACCCCACATGGCTGATCGCATGGACTGAAAAAGCATGCTAGGTATGTCCTGTGTGTGTGTCCAAAATCTCAACAGGATGAAGAAACAGAGAAGGAATTACAGCACGGCCACAGCCCACTGGGGTGCTTTCTCCTTCCCTCCTCCTTAGTCTCTCTGTCTCTTTTTGGCAAGTGCACGTGGCCTCTGGCAAAATAAAAATGAATAATAAACCAAGTCTTCTTCTTGGTTTACTAATTATTTAACACTGAAAGTAGAGCATCCCTAATACAAAAATCAAAAATACAAAATGTTAAAAAAAGATCTGAAACTTTCTGAGCACTAGCATGATGCCAGAAGTGGAAAATTCCACACCTGATCTCATGTGCTAGGTGGCAACCAAAATACTGCAATACAGAAATATTGTGTAAATGTACCTTCAGGTTATGCGTATAAGGTGTAGATAAAACATAAATGAATTGCCTGTTTAGACCTGTGTCCCACCTCCAAGTGATCTCATTATTGATATGCAAATATTCCAGAATCTGAAAAAAATCCCAAACCTGTAACACTTCTGGTCCCAAGCTACTGATAAATACTGTTAATAAACAACATAATAAACAATATAGACATTATTGATTTGTTTTGCCTGCCTCTCCTATGTAACAGCTATCTCCTTCAAATCAAAAATATAGTTAAGGCTTAAAAACCAAATTGAATCCTTTTGTAGAATCTAGAATTATTCATTTCTTCTACTATCATCTCCCCACATGTCTGCACTTATTTCTAAGGAATTTCTTATCATGAAAAGCAGCTTACAGGTCACTGTTGCATGCACCTGCCAATTAAAGCACACATGCACAAGCTGGCTGGGCTGGTAAGGTGGGGTGCTTATCTGCAAGGCTGTGTTAAAGGCTCTGAGGGAGTGGGCACCTACCCTCTGGGTATTTGTAGGTGTGGGTGATGTCCTCCCGCTCGTCACGGCCCACACTCTTAGTACTGATCTTCAGCCCCACAACCAGGGACCGGTTGATGGATTTGTGCATGGACCCATCATCCTGCCGGATCCAGTCCACCACATCAGCGTTGACTTCAGCAAAGACAAAAGGTGCGTCGTACTTGGTGGTCAGGTCACCCTCCTTAATAGCACGCACTGGCACCGGGCCACAGCAGTATGTGCCTGGTTGGGGACAAGGAGAGGAGAGATGAGTCCAGGCAGAGGGGAGGGTGGCATTTTCCAAAACCCTCCACAATTCAAGCACACATAGCACACACTCCTGAGTCCTGCAGCCCTGGGGGGACTCATTTCTAAGTGGCCCCCATAAACAGAAGGTTCAGAACAAGGCTTCTAGAGCCCAAATTTGACAGTTCAAATCCCAGCTCTGCTTTTATCAGCTGTGTAGCTTTGGGCCACATTAACAGCTCCAAGATGCAGTTTCACATGGGGATATTTGGACCTGCCTAATGAGGATTTCTGAGTTACAGATGTAAAGCCCTCAGCGTGTACTAAATGCTATGCAAGTATTTGGTAAATAAAGTGGAAATTTATCCCATGGCATCCTGAGCAAATGAGGGGGACAAGGAGGGAGCAGCATGCCAGGGGGGTACATCTGTCTTGCTTTCTGCTCATCTCAAGAGCTGAAGTCAGGGCCTGACAGGGGCTAGCCTCAGGCAGTGTGCGCTGATGGGTTTATCTCGGCATGGTTCATAACCACCTCGCGCTGTCCACAGACCACATGGAGGACCAGAGGCTGGGGAGATACACCCCAGCATATCTGAGCATTGGCGCAGCCTTACATTAACATTGTAATCACAGAAAACCACCGATGGAGAAATGCTAATGATACATCAAGACGGGGACAGAGCGGAGAAAACGGACTGCATGCAGCTGGGTGCTTACACCAGGATCCACGGACCCCAAGGTGCTACCAACAGAACTCAGGGGTCCGTGAACTTGGATGAGGGGTGAAAAAGACATTATTATTTTCATTACACTTTAAAAAAAAATTTTTTTTTTTTTTGCTATAGAGTATGTGCACTAGAGAGAGACAGAGAGAGTAAGAGATAGGGAAAATGAGAAATAGGTGCCCCCAAGCAAGGGAGGGATATACCATGATCCCTCCTCCTTTCTCCTCTCAGGATTTTGGGTGCATATGCACATGCACCCGGCGTGTTTTTCAAGCTGCTGCGTTCTGAACGACTCCAACAACAGGTCAGCCATGTGGGAACCAGCTACCTTAACCTCTGGGCCACCGGCGGGCCCACTCTTCAAATTATAAAAGAAGTGTATTATAAATATATAAGTGAGGTGCCCCCACCCTCATGTGAACCAGTCCATGGTCCTTGGAGTTCACTAGACTGGGTTAGAATTCCAGCTCTGCCACTTTCCAGCCAAGGGACACCAGGGGGGCCACTTTAAGTTTCCAAGCCCTGCTTTCCTCATCTAGGTAATGGGGCCATGCCTACCCACCTTCACTCTTCTCCTGGGGTGTTGGGTCGAGGGCCTGCCACCCCTCATACCCTGGCTGCAGGTCCGGTCTGGTCATCCATGACTCCACCCAGCAGTGGAAGTTCCTGACAGGGAAAAGATGCAGAACACTGTCAACGTCATCGTCGGGTCCCAAATGGAAGCCAGCGTGTCCTCTCTGCTCCTCCTCCAGGGCCCATCCTAGTGGCACCGCCCAGACGCTCACTCTGTACCTGGGAGCCCTTCTCAACTCCTCTTCCACCTCCCCTCCACTTCCAGTGGCTGGGTTGGGGACCCATCATCCTGCCGGATCCAGTCCACCACATCAGCGTTGACTTCAGCAAAGACAAAAGGTGCGTCGTACTTGGTGGTCAGGTCACCCTCCTTAATAGCACGCACTGGCACCGGGCCACAGCAGTATGTGCCTGGTTGGGGACAAGGAGAGGAGAGATGAGTCCAGGCAGAGGGGAGGGTGGCATTTTCCAAAACCCTCCACAATTCAAGCACACATAGCACACACTCCTGAGTCCTGCAGCCCTGGGGGGACTCATTTCTAAGTGGCCCCCATAAACAGAAGGTTCAGAACAAGGCTTCTAGAGCCCAAATTTGACAGTTCAAATCCCAGCTCTGCTTTTATCAGCTGTGTAGCTTTGGGCCACATTAACAGCTCCAAGATGCAGTTTCACATGGGGATATTTGGACCTGCCTAATGAGGATTTCTGAGTTACAGATGTAAAGCCCTCAGCGTGTACTAAATGCTATGCAAGTATTTGGTAAATAAAGTGGAAATTTATCCCATGGCATCCTGAGCAAATGAGGGGGACAAGGAGGGAGCAGCATGCCAGGGGGGTACATCTGTCTTGCTTTCTGCTCATCTCAAGAGCTGAAGTCAGGGCCTGACAGGGGCTAGCCTCAGGCAGTGTGCGCTGATGGGTTTATCTCGGCATGGTTCATAACCACCTCGCGCTGTCCACAGACCACATGGAGGACCAGAGGCTGGGGAGATACACCCCAGCATATCTGAGCATTGGCGCAGCCTTACATTAACATTGTAATCACAGAAAACCACCGATGGAGAAATGCTAATGATACATCAAGACGGGGACAGAGCGGAGAAAACGGACTGCATGCAGCTGGGTGCTTACACCAGGATCCACGGACCCCAAGGTGCTACCAACAGAACTCAGGGGTCCGTGAACTTGGATGAGGGGTGAAAAAGACATTATTATTTTCATTACACTTTAAAAAAAAATTTTTTTTTTTTCTATAGAGTATGTGCACTAGAGAGAGACAGAGAGAGTAAGAGATAGGGAAAATGAGAAATAGGTGCCCCCAAGCAAGGGAGGGATATACCATGATCCCTCCTCCTTTCTCCTCTCAGGATTTTGGGTGCATATGCACATGCACCCGGCGTGTTTTTCAAGCTGCTGCGTTCTGAACGACTCCAACAACAGGTCAGCCATGTGGGAACCAGCTACCTTAACCTCTGGGCCACCGGCGGGCCCACTCTTCAAATTATAAAAGAAGTGTATTATAAATATATAAGTGAGGTGCCCCCACCCTCATGTGAACCAGTCCATGGTCCTTGGAGTTCACTAGACTGGGTTAGAATTCCAGCTCTGCCACTTTCCAGCCAAGGGACACCAGGGGGGCCACTTTAAGTTTCCAAGCCCTGCTTTCCTCATCTAGGTAATGGGGCCATGCCTACCCACCTTCACTCTTCTCCTGGGGTGTTGGGTCGAGGGCCTGCCACCCCTCATACCCTGGCTGCAGGTCCGGTCTGGTCATCCATGACTCCACCCAGCAGTGGAAGTTCCTGACAGGGAAAAGATGCAGAACACTGTCAACGTCATCGTCGGGTCCCAAATGGAAGCCAGCGTGTCCTCTCTGCTCCTCCTCCAGGGCCCATCCTAGTGGCACCGCCCAGACGCTCACTCTGTACCTGGGAGCCCTTCTCAACTCCTCTTCCACCTCCCCTCCACTTCCAGTGGCTGATTTGGATCCTAGCCTCTTGGCCTTGCCCCTTTTTTCCAGCCCACAAACCCCACCCTGGTGCAGGACTGGACTGGACTCTCCCCTACTCTCCCTGCCCCGATCCTTCCCCCTCTAGCCTCCTGGGCCTCAGTCATCAGCATGGCCCCCTCCCACTCTGAAACCCTGAGTGACAAGTGTTGCCCTTGAATCCAAGCCCAGGCTCCCTAGCCTGGCACCTCAGACTTGGGACAACCTTCCCAGCATAATTCCCCAAATGCTCCTTCTTCTATTGTGGGTGACCTTCCCTCCTCTAGGTCTCCGGCCCACATTGTCCCTCCCAAACCCTGCTCTGTCCTGCCCAAACACTGCTTCACTCTTAAAGTCCAATTCAATATGTGACCTTCTCCAGGAAGCCTTCCCAGGTTTCCTCTCTATGGGACCCTCCCCACCCAGGTCCTGATCCCTCCCTGTGCCCCACTTCACCAGATCATCTCGCTCTTGTCTCCCTCGATCTCTCCGAATTCATTGCGGAAGTACTCAATGAGCAGGTTGCTGTTCTGGTCGTGGGCTGAGTTGTAGTTGGTCACGACGCGGGTAGGGATGCCGAGGCAACGCAGCACTGGGAGCGGGGTGGGGACAGGGGTTGGGATGAGCTGAGGCCCTGACAGACACACCTCCATGAGCCATCTGTTTTCCAGGGACCACTCCACCCACTGTCCAGGTGGTGAGGGGATGCGCCAGCCCTCTGGTCCCATCCCAGGGACAAAAGCGCCCATCTTGCTGGTCACCCCACGCCCACTCCTTCCCTCTCACATCATAGCTGTGAAGGAGACTCGAGGATGCAAATCTGATGCCAATACTCCTTGAGGTCAAAGCCAGACTCTCAGTCACAGTCCCGGGCCTTTGTGCATCTTGCTCCAGCCACACTGGCCTCAGCACTCCATGTTTCTGGAAGCGTTAGGGCACTGCCACGTGCTGTCCCCTCTGCCTGGAAGGTCACCCTGCCAGGTGGAGGTTGGCCTTCATTTGCGTTCACAGCAGGAGGGGGGTTTGCCATCATGCTCAATGCCCGGGCATCGAGGAGATGCTGTGACGAGGCCTCGAGGCCAGTGTCTGTGTTTTACGTTACATCCTCAGAGGCCACCACAGCCCTAGAGGGACTCCTTCGTCAAATGGGATGCAGGAGTGGGTGAAGGAGAAAGGAAAAGAGGGAGGGAGAGGGAGGGAGGGAAGGAGTGAATGACCGATGGAGTTACTCCCAGGTAGGGACTCTGAGTGAGACGCTAACAGCAGAGCGGGCAGGAGGGGACAGAGGTCAGGAGACCCAGCTCCTTCTGGGCTGTATGCCCGGGGGCCAGTCGCTTTCCTTCTCTGAGCTGGTTTCTTTCTCTGTGTGTATTCTTAGAGTGACCCGGGATTCGTTATCATTCCCAGTGTTCAGGAATGTAAGTTTACGTGACCTTACAAGACTGGCCACAGGACCTGCTGGTGGCTTGGTGGTTAAGACAGCTGGATCCCACATGGCTGATGATACAGTTCCTGTTCCAGACCCGGCAGTTTGAAAAACATGTCGAGTGTGTGCATTCATGCCCAAAATCCCAAGAGGAGATTGGAGGAGAAGGGACTGTGGCATGAACATGCACCCTGCCCCTGGGTGCACTTCCTCTCTCTGTCTTTCTCCAGGGAGTGCACATGCTCTATAGCAAATCTTTTTAGAAAACAAATCAAAAAACAGGCTACAGGTCAGGCTCTTCGGACCTGCTGGGAGGGTCCTGCATTTATGCCAAAGCTCTGTTTGCTCGGAAAGGGGCTGATGTTGCAAGGACAGGTTCAAAAGCGGTGGGGCTTTCATCAGCTTCTACAGCTCAGCTCTGCAAGGCCAAGGGTGTGGGGGAGGGAGAAAAAACCGACACAGAGCAGAGTGGTGCCAGGTGCTCCCGGCAGATGGAATTACAGGCGCTTTTACTCCCTCACTAACAAAAAGCGCTTTTTATGTATATTGTACAAGTAACAGATTCTTGGGATAGGAAATAGAAAGTAAATACCTGAAAGGAGAATCGAAACCAAAAGCCCTGGTAACCCTAAGTGGTGGGACTTCTTTTTTACTTTTAGTTTTAATTGAAGTTGAGTTTCCGGGCAAAGGAAGGGGTGGGGATGTGACCTTTGCCTGTGTCCACAATCAGCCAGGCCAAGAACTCCCCCAGATGGCCCTGGCTTCTGGCCAGGAGACACATGAGTGCTGGGAGGAGGAGGGACAGCCATGACCCTCTACCTCTTGCCTGGTTTCTGGGTCCCTGAGGCCTGGGCTGGGGCCAGAGCCACTGCTGCCCTCAGCAAAGGCTGGTGCCCTAAACCCAGGCCTTGTCCCGCCATGTGGCACAGACCAGAGGTTGGGGGAGGTCTGCTCTGCTACCAGGGAGCCAGGCACTGCTCCTGCCCAGGGACAGTGTCCTCGGAGGCTTCATCATTACAGTCTAAGGCCAGGAGGCTGCCCCAGGACCAGGACACCTGGACCAAGGCCTGCCTGTGCCTCTTACCAGCTGTGCGACCTTGGGTACACCACTTCCCCTCTCTGAGCCTCCATTTCCTCTTCAGTAAGAGGAGCTAATAATAGCAGCTTGATGGGATGCGGTGATGATTCAGAGAGAGGCCGGGGTAGAGTCGCGTCTGTCTGGGGTCCATTGTGGACCGCGTCATCCATCAATGTCGGCTGACTCACGGGTACTAAAAAAAAGTCCAGGGATCTGGCCTAGAATGCTGGAGTCCCAGCTCCCAGGGGGCCTCCCAAATCTGAGCCTCACCTGGGCCAGGACGGTGCTATGTGACAGCCACCTGGTCCTCAGAGCTTTGTGTGAATTAGGCCAGTCGCCACCATCTCCAATTTACAGCTGTGGAAAGTGAGGCTTGGAGACATCAATTTTCTTGCCCAGGTCCACTCAGAGTTTAGGGCAGAGCTGGGATTCAAACCCAGGCAGTCCAGCGCCATGGACTGATCCACCATTTGACTCTCTACGGAGACTCCATGGCCAAGGGGGTTAGATAGCCCTTATCTGACCACGCTTTCCCTGGTCAGGCCTGGGAGGAGCTGCAGGGACTAGGACACAGCCCTGGCCTGGAGAAGACAGCTGAGGGTGAGGTCTGCTGCTAGACCTGCGGGTGACAATGGCCCAGTGGAACAAAGACTTCTACAGGTGAGCCTGGGGACTCAGGCCACAGGTTGTTGGGTTTCTTTGGGGGAAATCCATGGGATTTCCTGAGAAGAGGTTTTTTTAAGTTTTTATTTAGGCCTCTCAGAGGGAAGGTCTGAGATGGGGGAATTTCCACAAGAAAAGGGAATTCAGAGGGTACAAGGAAATACGCAATAATAGACAGGGAGGGTCGTGGGAGTAGCAGGAGCAGAGGAGTAAGGACAGACCAGCTGGGCACCCAGGCCGGGCTCCGCCCCAGCCTGCTAAGGCAGAGGACATTCTGGCGGGCCTCCCAGGCCTTTCTGTGGGCCTGAGCGCTGGTTTCAGAGTTGGGAAACCTGGGAACCCTAGATCAGCCTTGTAGATCTTCCATCCTTCTCTCTCTCTCTCTCTCTGTCTCTCTCTTTCTTCTTTCTTTGTTTGTTTTAAAATTTTTGCCAGAGGGTGTCTGTTCTTACTAAAGAGAGGCAGACAGAGGGGGGAGGGAGAGAGCAATGGGAACCCTAGATCAGCCTGGTAGATCTTCCATCCTTCTCTCTCTCTCTCTTTCTCTGTCTCTCTCTTTCTTCTTTCTTTGTTTGTTTTAAAATTTTTGCCAGAGGGTGTCTGTTCTTACTAAAGAGAGGCAGACAGAGGGGGGAGGGAGAGAGCACCCCTGACGGGGCATGATCATGCTTCATCTCTTCTCCCCCACACCTCCGTCCCACCAGGATTTTCAGTATATATGCACACATGCCCGCTGTGTCCTTCAAGCCTCCAGGTCTGGAACTCAAACCAGGTAGGTCATGAAAGACGCAGTTTCCTTAACCACCACACCACGGGCTGGCCCACTCGCTTTCTTGACATTAACCGCGTTCCTGCTACTATCGAGTTATTAACGGCTAATATTTGCTGAGAACTACATTGGGCCAGGCTCTGTGCGGGGCAGCTGTACGTCACACCCATCCTAGGTGGTGGGTCCTGTGGTCTCCATTTCTCAGATGAGGAAACTAAAGTCCAGAAGGCATGATCTCAAGGCACAGAGCCAATGAGTGGGAGAGTGGGGATTTTTTTCCTCTTAAAGAATTATTTTATTTAACTTTTATTTATTTATTTATCTATTTTAATTTGTCCAGAGAGAGAGAAAGAGAGAGGGAGAGAAAGCAAGCCGCCAGGTCCAGGACTTGAACCATGGTCAGTATGTGGAAGTCTAGTGCTCTCAACTACCGCGGTACCTGCCGGCCCCCACAGTGAGGATTTTAAACTTAGGTGTGCCTGGCTCCAGGACCCATGTTCTCAGGCGTCAGCCCACCCACGCTGCCTTCCAAATGATATTCCCTTATCCTAACAACCACCCGAGGGGGAGGTTGTTAGAAATAGGACCCAATGGGAACCAGCAGTTAGCGTAATGGCTATGTCGCTGGACTCCCACGTAGTCGACTGCGGTTCGCGTCTCGGACCCGGTGGCTTAAATCTCACGCCGGGCGCGTGTGCGTGCGTGCCCAAGATCCCGAGAGGAGAATGGAGGAGAAGGGATTGCGGCGTGACCATCCCCCCTGGGGGGTGATTTCTCGCTTTCTGTCTCTATGTCTCTCTCTCTCTGTCTGGCGAGCGCACGCGCCCTATAGCAGAAATAGGACCCAAGAGAGAGGTGGCTACCAGCTCTAGGATACATCGATAGCCGAGGTGGCAAAGGCAGGGCCAGAACCGGGGTCTCCTGATTCCCACTCCAGAGCTCACTGTGCCTCTTCCCAGGCCTCATCGAGGTAGACGGCAGGGTCCAGACCCTTGCACACCTCGGCGTGCAGCTCACCTGTGCAGGCCACAGCGGCAAAAACCCAGCACTGGCCATACTTGACCCGCTGGCAGCCGCCCTCCTTCCAGCGCTGCAGGATGTCCACACTGCCAATCCAGAACATGGGGCTGACTCCATCCCCGTAGTTGTTGTCCCAGCGTCCCAGCAGCACGCCCTGGTCATCATTGCAGTTGACCTGCAACCAGAAGGGCATCACGGGGGACTGAGCGTAGGGAGCGGGCGATGGCCGGGAGAGCATGGTTACCAAGAGCATGTGGTCAGAGGCAGGGAAGGGAATGCGCGGATACGGGAACAACAGGCATCGAAGTGCCAGTGTGTCAGACTGTGGCATGCCGGAGAGAGTTCGGGGCTGCAGCTCGGGTATGGGAGAGAGAGAAAGGGAGGAAGTGGAGGGATGTCAAGGCCGTGAATGTGAATCTGTCCTAAGAGCACAGAGTTGTTCAGCTGTGACACGGTGCGATCCGAGTTTTACAAAGACCCACTCTGGTCCTGCCCAGGTTGTATCATTCCTCACTAAACTCCGATAATCTAGGAATAAAATCCAACCTGCTGACCACGGGCCACAAGGCCCTGAGTGGCCCAGGCCCCACCCACCTCTACAGCTCCTCTCCTACCCACTCTCTTTTGCTCAATCCATTCCAGCACTTTGGCCTGCTTCTGTTCCTCAAAGCTCCTGGAAGGTGTCCCCTCTTCAGGGCCTTTGCACCAGCCATACTCTCTGCCTGGAATATCCTCCTCCCTCCCAGTTATTACATGAGTTCATAGGTCACCACCTTAGAGAATCCCACACTGAGGTGAGGCCCCGAGGTCACTCACACATCCAGGTTCCTTCGGTGTGTTCATCATAATTTATGACTGTGTACTCATTCACATATCTTGGCCTGTCACCTCTCACCCACTAACGAGAACATAAACTGTGAAGTTAGAGATCATACCCAGCTATGCCAGGCTATATCCCCACAACTTAGGACATAGACGGCACTAAGTAAATATCTGCTGAATAAGTAGGCAAATGAATTGCTCCAGGGGACTGCACAGCATTGCCTTCCCCTGTATAAATCTTGTCTTTCTAAATCCTGTCTCTTTTCACGGAGACTGACCCCTTCCTGGGCCCCCTGACTGCACTCAGCACAGAGTAAAGCCTCCATGGTCACAGGGAGCAGGGAGTCAGCGGGGGTCCACTGTGGGCCCCAACCTGACCAAACCCTGCCTTATACTCACCATGCCACTCACCACCCGGCCCACATAGACAGGGTTGCTGCGGCGGGAGCAGTCACGGCCAGAGTCCTTCAGGAACTTGGGATTGACATCCAAGAGCATCAAGCAGATGTCCAAGATCCCATCTTCAAACTATGTCAGAGGAAATAAGAGAAGAAAGAAGAGACTGAGAAGCCTTTCTTCCAGGAAGCCTTCCTGGAAACCTCCAGCAGCTGCAGGCCCTGCCTGCTCCATTTCACACAGTAGCCTGGGATGCCAGCTTCTTCTGGCCCGAGGGAGGGACTGGGACAAAGGCTGAGTGGGCAGTAAACATGTGAAATGGGTTAGAGAGACCCTGCATCCAGGGCCTGTCTGGCGGCTGGGAATTTGGAATACAGTGGGGAGCCCAGTGTCCCTGGGGCTTCCCTTCCCTTCAGTCACTTCAGGCCCTGCACTCCCCCTTCCCCTTTCTGCCTGGCCAAGTCTCCTGATTCTCCTAAGGCCTGACTCACCCTGCAGAGTCACAGCAGTCCCCCTCCTCCCCTGCCCTTGGCCACATGCTGGGAACTGAGGTGAACTGCAGAGATGCAAATCCAGTCCCGTCATTCCTGTGTTTCATCTGCACCCAGAGTGAAATCCAGAACACATGCTGTGGCTTGTGAGACCCTTCACATCTCCTCTCTCCCCACTCTCGCTTTCACTCGCTCTGCCCCCAAGGCCTTTGTCACTTGGAACGCTCTTTCCCTGCCTCTCTGCGTAGCTTACACTTTCTCACCCTTGTAATTAAAATAGTATCTTTATCAAAATGTTGTTTATCAAATATTAATATTTTATCAAATATTATCTTTATCAAAAGCAGGAGCCCTCTCTGTCCGACCTCTGATCCCCATCTCTGAGGTCCTAGACCAGCCATGTCACAGGTCTTTTCCATGTGGCACAACAGCCCTCCATGGCTCGAGCCCTTCTGTGGCTCCCCATTGCCATTGGCCTGCCCTTAGGGCTGTTAATATCCTAGACATGGGTGACTTCTCTTACCTCATCTCTTGGGGCTCCTTCACACACAGAATGTTCCCCAAGCAACGAACTTCTCAGACACAACAGTAATTTCTGATTCTGATGTACAGTCCAGTTTGAATCATGGCTTGGAAAACGGCTTAAAGCCCCTTCTCAGCACGTGGTTAGCACCTCCTGAGCAACCTCCAAGTTCTGCCTACTATTTCGGTATATGATGGCCTTAACTGTTCCCTCTTCTCCCTCCCAGAATACCAACCGATGTCACTGTTCCTAAAGGCTCTCCTAATTCTTTCCTCACCTGAAATCCAGGGCTGCTGCCTTGGCTGTATGGCCTCAGGTCACCCTTTTTGCCCTCTCCGAGCTATTCGTTATTTCAGGCCCTTGCATCCCTGACCGTGTGGAGTGGGAGACTCTGTGACTCGTTCACATCTTTGCAGCTTCGCTGCCTCAGACACAGTGCCTGGCACACAGGAGAGCCTGAGATGGTTAGCAAGGACAGGATATGGCCTACCTGCCCAAAGTTCCAAGGTATACTCTTGATGAACTTGGCCGAGCCCTGGTAGATGAAGCCCTGCTGGGTAAGGACGTACTCCCGCCGCTCCTCTTCCGAGTCCAGGTACACAGGATCCGCTGTCAG